AAAAGAAAAAAAAAAAGCAACCACATGAGAGAACATGAACCAGGAAAAAAAAAAAAGGAGAAGAAGAAGACTGATGGCTCACTTGAGGTCCATCAAGACCACCCTGGCCAATATGGTGAAACTGTCTCTACTAAAAATACAGAAACTAGCTGGGTGTTGTGGCAGGTGCCTGTAATCCCAGCTACTCGGAAGGCTGAGGCAGGAGAATCGACTGAACTCGAGAGGCAGGAGGTTGGAGTGAGCTGAGATCACACCATTGCATCCAAGCCTGGGTGACAGAGTGAGACAATGTCTCAAAAATAAATACATAAAATAAAAATAAATAAATAAAAATAAAAATACCTCCATGTTACTGGAAACCACCACCAAATTAAAAAAAAAAAAAAAAAAAGAAAAGAAAAGAAAAGAAGAAGGAAATAAAAATACCATGCCCTAATACTAGTAGTCAAATCGGTACATCCCTAAAATGCTGGTGGCTACAGAAGTAAGTATGTTTTGAGAATCAACTGGGTGAAGAAAAAAGAATAACTCTCCAGAACTAGAAGCTACAGTGAAATAGTATAACATTTTTACATGGGCTACAAGTAGCCTAAAATATACTATCTTACTGTTGTAAGACAGTTATATCATAACTGCATTGATGACATTACACTCTGTACAGAAAAAATGATGTATATTACTTCAAAAAAAATTCCAAAATCTTTATCACCTTTTCAAAAAATTTCCATACTGTGTAACTATTAATAAAATGATCAAATATTTCTCTGAACTTTCCCCCTCAATTTTGTGAACCCAAAACTGCTCTAAAAATTAATATCTATTATAAAAAATGTTTACTAATGAACAGTGAAATTCTATGTGTTGCCCTATCTGTGAAGTCTGTAGTAAAGAAAGTGTTATATGAACTCCTCATTGTAATGCAGTTTGTGAAAAATACAGTGCTCATTAGTTGTCTACTTTTTAACAATATGACCAGAATGCAACCTGCAACGTGTATTTTAAGGCTCATTAAACACAGTGCAAAGCAGAAAGGAAACAGACTGTGCAGTACAATCCCTGATGCCAAATTCCTATCATATTTCCTTAGTTTTCCTAGTTTTGATATTAATGATTTCACAAACAGGGTAATCATGAAGAAAAAAAATACACACACACACACACACACACACACACACACACACACCCCACTGCAGCCTCAACCTTCTAAATTCAAGTGACCCTTTCACCTTAGCCTCCCAAGTAGCTGGGACTACAGGCATGTGCCACTATGCCTGGCTAACTTGCCTTGGCCTCCCAAAGTGTGGGATTACAGGAATAAGTCATTGTGCCCAGTCAACAACAACAACAACCATTAAAAAAAAAAAAAAAAAAACTGCTGGTCTGATGGTAGTGGGTTATCAGAACTTATTAACATCACCAAAGTTGGTATATAATCCCCCACTGCTAAATTTGACTGGCTTTAAAAAAACATTTTTTTTTTGTTTGTTTTTGCAGCTTTAACTCAAAGAAGACAATTTTAAAATAAATTCACTCATGTAACACAGCAGTTATTTACAACTTTTTCGGTGCTGCAGCAACATGTCTATGCATATATTTAATAAACTGTGACCAAAGTGCTTGCCTTTTTATTTTTATTTATTTATTTTTTAGACAGAGTTTCACTCTGTTGCCCAGGTTGGAGTGCAGTGGTGCCATCTTGGCTCAATGTAACCTCTGCCTCTGGGGTTCAAGCAATTCTCATGCCTCAGCCTCTTGGGTAGCTGGGATTACAGGGGTGTACCACCATGCCCAGCTAATTTTTTCTATTTTTAGTAGAGGTGGGGTTTCAATGTGCTGGCCAGGCTGGTCTTGAACTCCTGGTCTCAAGTGACCGGCCCACCTCGACCTCCCAAAGTGCTAGGATTACAGGGTGAGCCACAGCACCTGACCACACCTGTCTTTTTAAAAACATGACATAAACTATTTTCAGTCAGGTGTGGTCTCTAGATCTCTGGAATGACAAATACCAACAATGGCCCTCAAAAATTTCGATAACATTTCCATACTGCAGTTAACAATCATGTGAGAAGAGTTTCTTATGACACCTTTGACAACATCAAATTCCTAACTATGATTTATCACTTCTTCCCCCCTCCCCAGGCGGAATCTTGCTTGGCCTATCACTTCTTTTATTTATTTATTTATTTTTTTGTGACGGAGTTTCGCTCTTGTTACCCAGGCTGGAGTGCAATGGTGCGATCTCGGCTCACCACAACCTCCGCCTCCTGGGTTCAGGCAATTCTCCTCCCTCAGCCTCCCGAGTAGCTGGGACTACAGGAGCGCGCCACCATGCCCAGCTAATTTTTGTATTTTTAGTAGAGACGGGGTTTCACCTTGTTGACCAGGATGGTCTCGATCTCTTAACCTTGTGATCCACCCACCTCGGCCTCTCAAAGTGCTGGGATTATAGGCGTGAGCCACCGCGCCTGGCCACGTCACTTCTTTAAAACCAAAACACTTACGCATAGAAAATATCTTCACATTTATGGGACATGCATGCACTTTATTGTAGAAAAATTAATTATGAATATGCAAACAATTTATAATTCATGATCTAATGCTAAATCTTGAAAGAACTTAGCCTACGTACAGAAAAAAAAAAAGTGGAAAGAGGAGTTTAATTACCTACCTACACTTCATTCCTGTAGAGCTTTGACTCCTTTACCCTATTCTTTGTTTCTTTTTTGAGAGATGTTTGAGAATTAGATAACTGAGATGGAAACAGTATGCACATGGCTTTCAGAGTAATTAGCTCTCAATGGCAAGACAAAAACTTAGTTCTTCTCGCTTCTCTCTTGCTATCTAAAATCTATATATACCAAATAACTGTAAAGGCAAAAAACCTTTAATTATTAGACTAGGACATTGTTATGGTCTAAATTTTGGTGTCACTCATGAATGGGATTAGCACCCTTATAAAAGAGGCAAGAGAGAACTCCCTTGCCGCTGCCCGCTGCCCCCACCAGCAAGGATGCAACGAAACAGGTGCCATCTATGAAAATCACGCCCTCAACAGACCAAACCTGCTAGTGGCTTCATCTTAGAATTTCTAGCCTCCAGGACTATTAGCAATAAATTTCTATTGTTTATATATTACCCAGTCTAAGTTATTTTGCGATAGCAACCCAAATGTACTAAGACAGATACCAAAATACTTCTGTGAGTACTGAACTCAGTTTGAACTTAGGGAACAATGAATTATTTCTACAGACTCTTTCCTACAAAAGGATGATAACGTTGTTACACAGAACAGTGTATTCATTGTTGTTTATAATTATGTCAAATATTAAACAATATTTAGAAAGCTTATTTCTAAAAAGAAAACTACATATTATTTAAGTAGCAGTCTGTCCTGTTTGAAAAGGAAAAATTAAGATGTCTATATAAAAAAAACAGATTGTGAAAAATGACACAGCTGCCCCAGTATGCTCATTTATACAGAATGAACTTCAAATTCAAGACCCGAGAGTGGGTTCTCCATTTCTTGCCTAAAAGCAATATAAAGGTGGCCAGGTTTGGTGGCTCACAGTAATCCCAGAACTTTGGGAGGCCAAGGCAAGCGGATCACTTGAGGTCAGGAGTTTGAGACCAGCTGGGCCAACATGGTGAAACCCTGTCTCTACTAAAAATACAAAAATTAGCTGGGTATGGTAGTGCACACTTGCAGTCCCAGCTACCCAGGAAGCAGAGGCAGGAGAATTGCTTCAACCCAGGAGGTAGAGATGTCAGTTAGCCAAGATCACACCACTGCACTCCAGCCTGGGCAGCAGAGTGAGTCTGCATCTCAAAATAATAAATAAATAAATAAATAAGCAATTTAAAGGTGATGTTAGCTCAGTTTCTGGAGAAAAGGTACTCCCAACATCCACAGGGCCAAAAAAATAAAAAAAAAAAATAGAGAACTGATGCATGACTAAGATGGCAAGAATCTAAAGCAATTTCGATGCTTGGGATGCTGCTATAAGAAAACGGGATCACTGCAAAACCACGTAGCAATGAAAAAGATTATAGAATGGTTATCTTTTTTCTGAGATGGAGTAGTTCAATGGCACCATCTCGGCTCACTGCAACCTCCACCTCCCTGGTTCAAGTAATTCTCCCGCCTCAGTCTCCCAAATAGCTGGGAATACAGGCATGCACCACCACACCTGGCTAATTCCGTATTTTTAGTAGAGACAAGGTTTCACCATATAGGCCAGGCTGTTCTCAAACTCCTGAACTCAGGTGATCCACTCACCTCAGCCTCCTAAAGTGCTAGGATTACAGGCATGGGCCACTGTGCCGGGCCTTTTTTTTTTTTTTTTTCCTTCCCCCTGAGGCAGGGCCTCACTATGTTTCCCAGACTGGTTTTGAACTCCTAGGCTCAAGTATTCCTCCCTGCTCCGCCTCCCAAAGTGCTGGGATTACAGGCATGAGCCACTGCACCCAGCCCAGAATGGTTGTCTTAACAAGTAAAACACTAAACTGAGAAATCGACAACTCCTCTTATATCCATAAGAGAAGTGAGGTCACAGGGCAAACTGCTACCTCCAAAAATAGACTGGCAGACACAGAGAATCACAACTTATCAGAGCAGAAACCCAGGAGGAGAAAATACAATCAGTCCCGGTGTACAAAAACCTGAAACACACACACACACACACACACACACATATTTGAGTTGGAGTTTTGCACTTATTGCCTAGGCTGGAGTGCAATGGCGCGATCTCAGCTCACCACAACTTCCACCTCCCGGTTCAAGTGATTCTCCTGCCTCAGCTTCCTCAGTAGCTGGGATTACAGGCATGTGCCACCACGCCCAGTTAATTTTGTATTTTTAGTAGAGACAGAGTTTCTCAATGTTGGTCAGGCTGGTCTCGAACTCCTGACCTCAAGTGATCCACCCGCCTCGGCCTCCTGAAGTGTTGGGATTACAGGCATGAGCCATCGCACCCGGCCAAAAACCTGAACTGTAATTAACAAATTGCTGGAGGCCGAGTATAGACAAAGCTCAGAGTAAAAAACTCCAGCCCCTTTAGTGGGCACCCCCATTTTTTTGGGGGTTTTACCTCTTACAGTTCTACCAGGTTTTCACAGCGACCATAGGCAAAACAATTCCTTGTGTTTTGGCAGCAGGAGAGGAAAAGAAACCACTTTGAAATAAGTCAGGGCTAGGCACAGTGGCTTACACCTGTAATCCAGAAGTTTAGGAGGCCAAGGAGGGCAGATCACTTGAGGTCAGGAGTTCGAAACCAGCCTGGCCAACACGTCGAAACCCCATCTCTACTAAAAATACAAAAATTAGCCAGCCTCCCAGCTACTGAGGAGGCTGAGACATGAGAATCACTTGAACCCAGGAGGCTGAGGTTGCAGTGAGCTGAGATCATGCCATTGCACTACAACCTGGGCCACAGAGCAAGACTCCGNAGGGCAGATCACTTGAGGTCAGGAGTTCGAAACCAGCCTGGCCAACACGTCGAAACCCCATCTCTACTAAAAATACAAAAATTAGCCAGCCTCCCCAGCTCCTATGGGGCCGGGACCTGAGAATTGCTTGAACCCAGGAGGCGGAGATTGCCGTGAGCTGAGATCACACCACTGCACTCCAACCTGGGCCACAGAGCAAAACTCCGACTTAAAAAAAAAAAAAAAATGTCAGAATATTCTGTTCTCTTTAACAAAGTCTGTCCTCAGGAGAAATTATTTAACTAGAGCCAAACCTGCCCAGGTTTTATCAGAGCATATATGACTTTGAAGAAGTGTTAACGCCCAACTCCAGCTACCTCAAGGCATCCAGAAATGGACAGAGCTGGCAGGCAGAAAATTAGTAAAGACAGGGCTGGTCAGGCGCAGTGGCTCACACCTGTAATCCCAGCACTTTAGGAGACTGAGGCCAGCGGATCACCTTAGGTCGAGTTCGAGATCAGCCTGATGACCAACATGGAGAAACCTCATCTCTACTAAAAACACAGAATTAGCCAGGCATGCTGGTGCAGGCCTGTAATCCCAGCTACTCAGGAGGTTGAGGCAGGAGACTCACTTGAACCCGGGAGGTGGAGGTTGTGGTGAGACAAGATCGGGCTATTGCACTCCATCTCAAAAAAAAAAAGACATAGCTGAACTCAGCAACACCATTTTTTTTTTTAAAGAGATGGGATCTCTCTATGTTGCCCAGGCTGGTGTGCAGTGGCTATTCACAGGCGTGATCCCACTACTGATCAGCATGGGAGTTTTGACCTGTTACATTTCTGGCCTGGGTCAGTTCACCCCTCCTTAGGCAACCTGGTGGTACCCTGCTCCCGGGAGGTCACCATATTGATGCCAAACTTAGTGCAGACACCCGACTGGCATAGGGCCCAGAACTCCTGGGCTCAAGCGATCCTCCCACTTCAGCCTCCTGAGTAGGTGGGACTACAGGCATGTGCCACTGTGCCTGACAGCAACACCATTCTTTAAGTGCATGTAATGAACATTATAGATAGACTAGTACACCCATAACTGCACATTACACATTTTTCTTGAGTTCACATGAAACTTTCATGAAGATATACCACATTCTGGACCATAAGGCACATATTGATAAATTTTTAAAAGTAGAAATCATACAATTTTCTGCTTTCAAAATCACAATGGAATTTAACTGCGAGTTCCTAACAGAACAATACCTGCAAAATCCCAAAACACTTAGAGATTTAAAAACACACTTATAGAATAGTATGGACTGGCCTCAAAAGAAAAAAACTAGTGGGCCCTGATATAATATACCATCCTGAGAAACATAATGCATTATTCTAGTATCTTTCTGGATTAGCCCTAAGCTAAGTATGTTTCATCAACAAAACTAGAAATGCTTCCCCCAGGCATGTGCACTTGTCCAGTAGAAGAACCTCACCTTGGATTTATTCCAAAAGAGGCTCTCAAATGTTCAGCAGCAACTCCTAAAAGGAGTCCAGTCCAAATGTAATGGGATAAATCCCTCTCCTCCCACCAAAAGCTGAATCTCTCATCATAGCAACAGGTGACCCTTGCTGTGAAGTTAAGAGGATAAGCACACAAATAAACATATATGGTATTATCTACTAAATTTTGTAAATGCACATGTTAAACACATGTGCATTATAATCCTAGCAATGGGCAGCAAAAGTTTAACGCCCAAATCCTTAAATAGGCTATACATAGGGTATTATAAAACTACACTCCATATTAAGTAATTAAACCAGAAACTGTTAAGTGAAGTGCAAAATCATGAATATTCTTCTATGGCTACAACAGCCTAATTATCAAAGTATGCTGAGACAGACAGGCTATTTTAAAGTACTGATTTGAAAAAAAAAAATCTTCAGAGAAATTTATGATGGATGTCTCTTACCTCATAAATGTTGGGGTGCCACATTTTGGTCAAGAATCTGAAGGTAGGTGGTGAATAGGGGTAGTCAATAGGAAATTTAATATGCGCCTGAAAGAAAAAAAATGAAATGTTAAAAATGAGACTACAAGTTATTCATCTACCTAATAATTCACCCTATTGCACCATAGAGAAACAAAGTTCCTTTCACAGAGTAGACTCTTCAGATTAAAGTAGCCCAGACATACTGTTATCCCCAGTGCCAGGGTCATTAGTATGTTCTTCTAGTATCCCTTCAAGTATTTACAAAAGGCTATTTTAAGTCACCAAAACTCACATACTCACTCACATACACAAACATACATAAATATAATTTTAACTTAACTCACATGAGTGAAAAACAGTACTCTGTTCAAGTATATTTTATTTTTATAACAACATAATCTAATTTTAGGGTACAGAATATGGAACAAAGATATTTTTTTTACTCACATAATTTAACTGTCATTCTATCACCCAGGAATAATAAATGCTGACATTGCTGATTTCCTCACAAAACTTATTTTTAAAAATTTCAACATACTGTATTTTGTATTCTGCGTTTTTCACCTGTATCACATTGTAAACATTTTTTACATCATAAAATGTTCACTCTACATGTGTCTGTTAGTATCTACATTATACTCCATCAAATGTATACCTAGATGAACCATTTTTAAAAACTTTCTTATTTTGGACATTTGGGTTGTTTCTCACACTTTTGCTGTTATAAATCCTGCTGCAGTGAATGTCCTTTGTAGTAGCCCACATTTCAGATATGAAGAAATCCAGAAAAAGTTAAAAACCTGAAAAGTTCTCTCTTCCATAAAAGCAACAGGAAAATTGCCAAAAATTGTAAGCATCAACATTTTCAGAATTCCAGAAAAGAACCAGAGGCTTGCAACAATTCAAGGAGCAGATATTTAAGGAAAATGGCTGATATTCAGTAAGAACACTAAGCTATGTGATTTTAACTTACCCTAATCCAATCTCCTATACTCTAGCTGTGCAGCAGCCTTAAAACAAAGAGCTAGCCGGGCACGGTGGCTCAAGCCTGTAATCCCAGCACTTTGGGAGGCGGAGGCGGGTGGATCACGAGGTCAAGAGATCGAGACCATCCTGGTCAACCCTGGTGAAACCCCATCTCTACTAAAACTACAAAAAATTAGCTGGGCATGGTGGTGCGTGCCTGTAATCCCAGCTACTCAGGAGGCTGAGGCAGGAGAATTGCCTGAACCCGGGAGGCGGAGGTTGTGGTGAGCCGAGATCGCGCCATTGCACTCCAGCCTGGGTAACAAGAGCGAAACTGTCTCAAAAAAAACAAAAAAAAACAAAAAAAAACAAAGAGCTGACATTCAAAGTAAAATCCAAGGAAGCTGACAGGCCCTGGAGGGGATAGGACGGGCTAGAATTTCGTCAAAGCCCAGAGAACTGTCAATAGTCAGCCTTTCTAGTGGTTCCCTAGAAAGCTCTACTAGCAAGGCTGTCTACACGTCATCAGATTTGGAGCTTGGCCAATGTGAAAACACTTTCCCTGGCAGCTTTGCTGAAAACAATGGCAGGCAACTATTGAACTTTAAAGGTACCTAAGGCAGTGGAAAATATAAAACAGACTAACAAAAAACTTAAAGGAAAACTGGGCTGGGCTAAGAGTTGTCCATTATGGTTTTGAAAAGCTCTGACAAATTGTTAAGAGTCTATAAGACCATGATAATGTTAGAGCTATGCACATGCCCAAGCCTATGTGCATGCTCAGGAAAGCCCTAAGGAGGGCCTAACTTTATAACTCTGGCTTAACCTGAGGATGTGTGCAACCAGAAAGTAAAGAGTTTGCAACTGCCTGGCTGAATTAAGTTGAAGACATGCAATGACACATATGCAGAGCTTCTCTAGAAATTCCAAGTGACTAACTTGTTCTAGACAGTTAAGGAAATCTGTTCAATCATTACCTGACCACTAAGCTAAATGGAGAATTCACTAGCAACACACAACAAATAATATCTACATTATAGAATTAGGTAAGAGAAGTCACTAAACAAGTCATAATTACAATAGCAGTAGCAATGGCAACAACAAAAACCCTGGGGAAGAGGAGAATTGGATTTCTGCAGTTGCCACTGTATATATTAAATTTCAAGTTTTCAGCAAAATATTACAAGGTACGAAGAAACAAAGTATGGTCCATGCAACAGGAGAAAAAAAAGAATCAATAGAAACTGGAAGCCCAAGTACTGAAGTTACTAGACAAGGACTTTAAATCAGCTTATCTTTAAACCTTTAAACATTTCAAAAAACTAAAGAAAATCATGGCTAAAGAAATTAAGAAAGCATGAGAATGGTATCTCACAAATACATAGTGAATAT